ATTGTATTTCTCTCGATGTTCCACATTGCATGCATTTTCTCTCTCATTCACGTTCACCTCCGGAAAACGTGTGCTCCTGCAGTAAATGAATAACGCGTTCGCATGGTGTTTCGTCGTCAATGATATATAGAACTCGAATGAGATAGAGAGGGCGAGAAATCATTCGTATAACCGTTTCTCACACTCCCTTTCGCTTCTAATTTCTCTCGGTTTATTTATGACACCGGTCCATTTGTCATTGTTATCGCGCCACGCCGGAATCGAAGAGTCCACGAAAAAAATTTTATTTTCCCAGTTATTTTCCTTGAGTGAGAAAATTTCCGTTACTTCACCGATGAGCAGAATATTCCATTATACTACATTCTTAATTTAGAATAATTTTCGGCGAGTTGTCAGTCCGGAGTAAAAAATCGAATGAATTAGTAATGCAGGTTAAGTGCATCTCATCGGGTGTTAGAATTTTTATTTTTTACTGCAATGGTCTCTAATAAAAGGTTCAATTCATTCCGCAGAAAAAAAAGTACTCTTCATATACTTTCTTCCATGTTTTTTCACAGGTGAGGGAAACGATTGAACGAAATACCTAAAATTTCAAAATTTTCCCGAACGCAGAGGACAATCCCTTGCATACTCACCATTATGTACATAATCCATATACATACTGGCGAAGTAACAAGGGGTTTTGGTTGAAGAAGCCAGGGAGGAAGCAACGGCTGTGCACAATCCACGGCATCTGCCTCTCGAAAAGATTTCTACTTTCCCGCCGAGGGAACTTGAGTCCAGCCCCCTCTCCTTTCTAAATGTCGTGTACACTAAAAAAACAGCAAGAAATCAAATGAAAATGGGAAAAAAGTGCGCAAAAGTTGAGAACAAAAAGAATAGAGAACTGGGGGAATATGTTCCCTTGTCATTTCATCCCAACGACTCTCTTATCGGTCGGCAATTTCAGAGGATGCGCGACACTTCTCTTCGTTCCATTAGAGGAATCGTCTTGTATCTCCTGGTCTCACATTATGGAATGAAACCGAGGTAGAGAAGGGCAGAGGATCCTCTCCGTAAAGTGGATGTCCTGAAAAATGCCCTCTGAGGTACACTAAAATCTCCGGACTCGTGCGAGTTTTCTTGATATGGGCGTTCGGCGTTTGAGAAAATAAAGGGATCTGATAGCAGATAAAATATAGGAGCTTATTTTTTTTTGCAATCGATATTCGATCCTTGAGAAATCCTTATTCCCAAATATCAAATTAACAATATCAATGATTATAAATAAAATATAATAAAAAAAAATTGCAATTGCAAATTGAAAAATTGCGGGAATAATTTCCTGGATAATGTGAAAAGGGAATGGAAATTGCCGTGAGTTGATGTATTCGTCGAACCGTCAGATTACAGAAGTTGAAAATCTATCTGGCTTGAATACCTGAAGATATACCACGACAAACACACAAGTCGGAGTACTCTAGTCCAGGGGGCTTTAATGTTCGATGAAGCTCATCCCCCTGGCCACTTGGTATATCGTGGGGGTGTTGGATAAACCCTCGAAACTATCATGGACAGGGATGGGGTGGCCGATGCCTTCGTTACGGTTGAGATATGTACATGGGATATCATCGACGAAGGGTTTTTGGTGGGGGTGTGAGAGATACGAGAGGATGTGGAAAATACACGACCCACAGAGACAGAATAATATGGTATAGGGTAGAGGTATAGAGAAACGAAGTTTGCATTTTGGGGTCCACGGTGGGAATAATACCCTGCGAATGAGGAACGAGAGTGATACCATCGCGGATAAATGGATGGTTGTCCTCTATATGTACCACCGAGTGGACAATTTTAGCCACAAGTACTCTCTCTACTAGTCCCCCTACTTCACCTATTCCCCACTCTATTCAATTCAAATTCAATGAAACAGTGTCATTCGTACGTTGGCTCCAATTACATTTAGGGCTATTTGTTACGTTTCAACGATTCAAATCGATATTCAAACTGTGCCTCTGTGTTTTGATTACTATCCACAAACATTTCACCGCTATTCAACCACAGAGTGAGGGCCTCAAAACAATGCTGTTATCGGGAGTTTGTATTACACTAGTCAGGGATCATTCCGATAATTAATCCTCGAGTATTTTTGGGATAGATTAAAATATTGTTGGGTGAATGTCGAAAGTATCAACTGTCAGCTGCCCTGAGACGTGGAAATCTGGAATTGTGGAGAATGAAGAGGGGTATACTAGTTCTTGTCATTGGGAGTGTTCTGGAATCATTGGAGATCTAAATGAGGTGAGAGGGCGTATGGAACGACAAGCTTGTCGGAGATCTTGGGGCTATTGTATCTGTCGGTGAAAACTATCTCGTCTGTACAAGTGTCTGGCGATGAAAGCCTCGTGGTGGAGAAACTATAGGAGGTATGTTTCCAAACAACATGAACACCAACACCAGGTGGATGTGGTGGAGATGGTCGCACTGTGATTGCCATCAACCGCATATTGGAATGACATCGTTTTGGTGGTGAATTCTTTTGGCTTGAATTTTTCGCTGACTCTCGATCGAAAATTATTTCACTCGGCGAGAAAAATCGCGAATTATTTCCGAGGTATGGCTCTTGGATTTATTTTCAATGACGGTACCACTTAGGATCCTTGGAGTACGTCAAGAACTTGCTCTAATTTTAAAGAATTTTAAGCTTCGATGGAAACTCGTACGAAAATTCCGTAACTTGAGTGCATTCGATATTGGAACATGAATATTTTATCCGAAATTATGATGATTTTTTAAATAACCGATAATTGAATAAATTTATTTGAATTTCCTGTAAAATTCCTGAGAATTTGCGATTGGATTTGATATCGAGAGGAGAACGTTGATTGATCAATTAAGATTTTAGTGTTAGCAATGAAAAATTCAGAGCTTTCATCGAATTCTGTGATGTTGATTGTGAGAAATTGGAGAGAGCGCCGAAAATTTTCCACGATTTTTCTTCACCCAGAATGGCGCAGGAAATTCTCGTTGAGTCCATTACGAAAATAGCAATAAACTCCGGGCTTTTATATAATCTGAAACGCTGATATAATCTCCCTCTCCCTCTCCCTCTCCATCGCTGAGGTATACAAAAGAATTATGCTAATGAGAAGTATCCGAGTGGCATTATTCTCGCAAAGACCCAACACGAATTAATAGTCCCTTGAAGTTTTTTCAGCTTTGTTCCACCCTCTCATCCTCATCCAACCGTTATGTTTCTCTTTATTATTCTTGTATTTCAAGTCTCAGTATTTATCTCTAATTCCCATTGAAATTCATGGGATTTCATTATTATGCCTTCTGTTCCTCTTTCTTCATCATCAGAAGGAGACGAATGGACGGAGGGTGGCTCGAGGCTTGAAATGGATTCAAGGATGAAAACGGAAGAGGGGAAAAAAGAAAATGCTTGTCTGACATTCATCGTGTCTCACTGAGGAAACTATCGGATTTCGATGAATGCACCAACGATTTTCTTCGCTTTCTCATATCCGTCGACACGGAAAACTTTTGTTAAAAAACGAGGAAAAATGAATGAGACGAGTTTAGCAGTAAAAGTCAGGATTTACATTAGAGAGTTTTCACGAGGCTGGATTTCACCACGATTTACGTTACAGAAAGTGGAAACTACCAGATGAGGGGTAAAAAAAGGAGCAAGAGAGAAAATTGGGGATGAGAACAGAGAGGGAGATTATCGAGGTTAGGGCCAAGATTTGGGCTGCGAGGAGAGCCAGAAACAAAGTTTTCAGGATAATATGGCGTCTTCAAAGCTGGTGGTGTACTTTGAGGAGCTAATCCGAGGAAAATCCCAGGGTACAGAATAAACAGGCGTGGATAAGGTTCAGGGCATATCGAGAGTCATTTCAGAATACTTGGCATTCGCCCCGATTATTTAATGAGCCTCAACACTATTGAAATTACTTCCCACACTTATGGTATTGAAGATTGAATTTTTTTTCCCGGTTCTCCTCATTAATTATTCTCAGGGATTATTAAAAATTTCAGGATTAATCCAGAAAAATATTTCAATTGTTCGCGTATTAAGAAGTCCATCTCCGTCTTTCTCCTGGAATGTAAGAAAAATTAGAAGCAGGTGTGGAATTTTCTGAAGATTGAGCCGGCAAATGAGAGATAGTCGAAGGTTCCACCTGAAAAATGAAAATAAAAAAATCGAGTTGATAAGTCATCCCGAGGCAGAAAGCCAAAAATATTCTAAATTCATACCACTCGAGTGGTGAATGTCATGTCGTATCCAATTTCACGCCTTTCAGGGATCGCGAAATCGAGGTGGATTTTTTTTAATCTCCACTCATCGGTTTTTCCGTCTACGGGTAGAGTGTTTAAATTCCAATGAGATCCGTTTGTGATATTTGACACTGTTCTTGAACTGTCTCCACGGTGAATTTCCGATATAAAATACACCTCGAGAATTCACTCCAGTTCCCGTCGTAATTTCAAGTTTAAATTTGAAACTCATGTCACGTTACCATAAGTCAGCATATTTTGTTGTATCCACCCCAGACCCTCGGTGAATATTTTCGTGTGTCGTCGACCCTCAACGGCTCGGTCAAACGATCGATCCCCAATCGTGAACTCAGGTCTCGTCTAGGTGGTCAACTGCCACAGGCCAGTCCAATATACACACTGATAGTAACAAGTTTTCCTGAGTATATATAATAACAATATTGTATATGTCACATGACGCGTGCCATCCCATCCTGGAGTTAAGGTGCACTACCAAAACCTCGAACTCCACCTTTGACCCGCAATTCCTTTCAATTTCCTATTAAATCCAACCAAAGCCCCTCCATTTTCTCCGTATGTAGTGCCTCGTTACGGATAAATATAAAAAATGATTGTTCAGTTAACAGCGACATGAATTGTTATCAAGATGAACGTAAAAACGAGATTAACGAGTATTCTGTTTGTAACTATTTACCTGGCAATCTGATAATGACTCACGACGGATGTTTGATTGATTTCAGTTGCCTGTTCCACTGTGACAGTGACAAAGTGTCAAGTGGCCTTGAAAACACTCCAGGCATTCTCGTTCTTCAAGCCAACTTGTCTCTGCAAGGAACCCCATGTTGATCCCGATTGCAACAGCTTCCAGAACTTCTTGTTCGATCATCCCTGCGTCTACGTTATGAAAAAAGGTAATTCCCAGGAAAAATTCAATTACATGTTTATTGTAATCACTCTGTACAGGTATTTATAAGAGTCACTGGAAGTTGACGGATTTTTCAGTTCAGTGTTGATTTTTATAGAAAATTTATCTTGTCCCGCATGACGCGGTAAATTCCTCCTCAACGTTTAATTGATTGATGAGGTTTTTAAAAATGCATAAATCGATAAATCCCTCAAATTAAAAACCAATACTGAGCGGTATCGATCGGTATTGGTGTGTTATTTATTTCTCAGAATAAATACTCGGATGAAAGTTTGTTCAATACTCATATTGAAATGGAAATTGACCGCCGTTTACTTGACTCTACGCTCACCCATTCGATTATTGGTTCTATCAGTTTCCCGTATTCGATGTAGCGAGAAAAATTCTTTAGAAAAGTGCCAGCCAGGGAGAACCGAGAGAATTTTATCGAGGGTGTGAATTTTTCCGGTATTGGTAAATGCTACAGCCGCATTTCCCCCAATTCGAGAGATAAAGTGAAATTACTCCGTCTCGTCATGCCTCATGTACACGTTTATAATTATGAATATTTACATGACTTGATAATATTCAAACGATTCAACAAACACTGGAAAACACTCCGAGGCTCCTCCACCATAATCTATTTACCCTAATCCAAATAACATAATTCCTGAGTAAAAACAGAATCCTCTCAGGTCTATTTTTCGGTATTCCCTCCACGTACCGTCTCGGTTTACAAATTTTCCCTGAGAAAGGTAAATGTAATTAAGCTTCATCTCGAGGCGTTTTATATACATCCCTCACTCTCACCTAGACAACACGTTTGCTCTCGAAAATTTTCCCATTCTTGCCACTGTAACGCCCATGCTTTTTATTTTCTCTAGTTTTCCCCACGTCGACTGGTGACTAATGAAACCCATCATTGCTCAGGAGCTGAGAAAATCATTTTTACTCCACATCCAATCCTTTCTCTATTCTCATCTATTTATTTTTATCTCCACTGAACGCTCCTCTATTTACTTCATTTAATTAATTTTAATAATAATTTTAATTAGTAAATACTGATCGGCTCCCTATTATATGTGACTGTGAAAACGTTTAGCCGTTGATTCGAGCGTTCAATATCCAATTGAATTGTTCGATAGGAAATTGATCGTGTCGGCCTCTCATTGAATAGAAAATAGATGTTGGGATTTTCATGAGCACACACCCCGTGATATTTTCATTCCCTCGATATCAACATGTATATTCTCACGCGGGAACAACCGGTGGTCACTGAATCGCGGTGGGTATTAATTAATGAATGCGTATGGTCACTGGAGTAGCTCATAATGATCACTTCCTCAATACTCGATGCACCAGTCCCACAACGCCGAGTAAAAATATTTCCTCCGCGATTGTTTCTATTGTTGAAAATACTATTGTACTCTCCGAATGAGAGAACTCACTCTTTCTACTCGTGCCCCACGTTATGATGAACTCTCCGTGCCTCCGGTATCGCGGATGAAATATTTATAGACGGAAATACGAACGAACGGTGAAATTGTATTTCTGACAAATTGATTTAGTCTATTTCGTGTTTTACGGGGCTCCGCAATTCTAGTAATTTTTTATTTCATTTTGAGAGTGAGTAATTGAGGGATTAATGAGATTGATGAGATTTGAGTTAATCGTCGGTCGATGATCGAATGTGGTATTGAGTATCCATGAGGATTATAATTATTAATTAATAATTCAGTGAGGATTAATAATTCGTTGGTGGTGAAGAGTTTTTTTTTTCATTTTCACAGTTAATGGAAAATTCGATTGTTTATCATTGCAGACAAAGATCCGTACCCCAATAATGTCTTACCAACGTGCAATCACGCCCTGAATACGTGTCAACGGGACAAAGTATGTTCCAAGCACCTCGAGGATTTCAAAGCAAGTTGCAAAGCACGGGAGGGAAAATGCAGGGAGAGCAGGTGAGTACCAAAAATATCTCTGATTTGCATACACAAGAACACCCACATGAGAAGATTCCACTTCGCAATTAATCCCGGAGATATTCCGGGTTTTTCCTCCAGAATTCACGTATGGAACACTCTCAATTAAATCCTGTCTAATTACTCCTCACAATTCGCCGTTAATAAACCAAATTCTGGAAATTGACGAAAGTACCATAGATGAATTTGGTGAGAAGAAATAGTTGGAAAAAGCTGGAGAAAGCTCATCTCCTTAAATGATAATTTGGATTGCGCTATAAACTCCTTCGATATCGATCCTCTGAATATCGGATGTAGTCATAATGCTGGTATAAAAATCCAATCTAAATACATAAATGCAAATATCCCCCTGAATTTTCACTGACAATTTCCACTGCTTGCGTCAAACTTTAGATTCAAACCGGTAAATTCCGGTATAGCAACAATATCGCGGAGTTGAGAGTTTGGGATTTGTATAAAACTCATATGCGTACATTATGCCGGGGGATTGTGCAGGATTGAAAGAGAGAGAAAAAAAGCAACTCGGAAACGCGTGCGAACGGGTAAGTGTACATTAAATATGTAAGTGGAGTGATTCGTACGTTTCCGGAGAAATGTTGTACAGCTGTTCGGATATATAGAGATGAGAGATTTAGTGAAAATACGGTAGATCTCACTAGGAGATCAAACAGGCGAGGATTTTTCACTCGACAATTCGAACAGGTTATATTGCCATGAATTCCTAAAAAATATTTGAATTTTCATTAAAATTAATTTTGCACTCACAATTTTTTGGGAGTCACGCTCACCGGGATAAAATTCTATACATACACTTCAATACCTGGACGATTCATAGAGCTGTTAAAATATCTGGGAGCGAGGATAGAATTGGTCTGACGGCCCTTTTTCTCTCCTTTTTTCCATTTTTCATTTTCCCACGCTTCCATACGAAAAACAGTCAATGTCCATTTTTATTGATTGCCACTTGCACAGATCGCAGATAAACGAATGGACGCCGAATATTTTTCATGGGTGTCCTCAAAAAAAAAAAGTCATTTTTGATGGCAGTGACTTAAATGAAATAAATTGACTCCTGTTGATTTTCCGGTAAAAATCGTACAAATCAACTTTATATATAACTCAAATAAAAAATTGTTTCGCGTGCACTGGATTTATTTATTTACTCAATAACTTTAAATTTTTCATTTTTCCGGGTATTTAATTGCAGTGATGTTATTGCACTGTATGAATATTTGAACTAATCACTCTTCCTCCTCATTTGGTTGGACAAAAACCGGAGTTCATTAAGTAAAGAATAAATCAGAGGGGCCAACTGGTAAGGCAAGGAACTTTCAACCACAAAGTTTCTCCTGAAAAGCTACTGGCCATCTCACTCCTTGAAGAGGATGCTCCAAGTATAACTTATGCAGAACGAGGAAAAATAAATTATAAATTCCCAGAACGAAAAAAAAAAGGCTGAAACGGAAACTTTCCCACAAGCGCGAGATAAAATTTTATTTCAATCCTCACCACACTGAAAAATATTTATCCAAGTTCAACAGATACCTGAAAATTCAGGCACTTACTAAAAAAGAGAGTCAACAACCGAGTGTTAGCTTTCCTCAAGTTGAAGACGAGTTGAATTATCAACTCTCTAAATACCCCATAAAAGATCGAACCGGATATTTGAGATAATGGAGATAAATGCTTCATTGTCGTGTAGCGTAATTGATGTTCCGCGGCTTCTAATGCAGGATTGACTTCCGGCTGAGCCAAATCCCGAAGATTAATAAATAATTGAAGAGACTAGAGTACATTAATTTCTAACTGAATCCAAATACTGCAGATGGAATGAGAATTGAGAGCAAACTATCGAGTTTCACCTGAATGATTATCTGTTGGAGCTTGAAAAAGCACGAGCCATCGGAATGAACATTATTCCGAATGTTTTTACGTGAGAACATGGCATGTCGGATTCCAACAGTTATCGAGCAAAATTTACCAAACATTTCCATTTCCGTATTTTTACCCCTCCATCGAGTCACCAACACTCCATTATGCCATCTATAAAATATCACCAGTGTTTTCCCTCTAAAAAACCATGAGTTTTTCTTCGGAATCATGTTTATTCCACTCGCCGTTAATATCTGGTGTGAATTCGGCTTAGCCGTTCGGGACCTTCCGCCATTTCAAACAGTAAAATCCAACGTTACAGAGAAACAATCGGATTGAACGTGAAAACTGCATCAACGCTGTGTGAATTCTCACTAATTGTTTTCCCCTTTAACCCGTTCCATCAACTTCCCGTATATCTGTATACATACTCTGTTGTTTCGGTGACCGTTCATCCCTCACACTCTTCGTGGCCGCTTTCGTTTCGTCATTACCCTTCTACTATAGGACACGGCAAACCAGTTTACCCTATATATGCGCCGGACAAATCCCTCTTCCCTAGTGATGGACAACATAACTGTTGGCACGTACTTGCATTCGTGGCATCACCTGTCCTCTCTTCCTTGGACACAATACGATGATGATTAGTGGATCCAGAACTTTGACAGCAACTGCTCTGTTTCCAAGCGCAAAAATATGACAATATTAACAAATCATTTAATTTATTGTCTGCTGAAGAGATTGATGAACCATCGAAAGAGGTTAGCTGTTGCATCTTCTGATTGTGAGCGTCATAAACTGAAAGGACTGTCTCGAGAGGAAGAATTGTCTTGTTGTTTTTACCAGGAGCTTAACTCTCAGCAGAAGTCCAAGATTTTCTGAGTGACAAGTCCCTCTCGAAGGAATCCCCATTACAAGGGACTATTCAGCAGCTTCCATTACAGGATGACATGATTGAGGCTGTGGCAGTCGGTCCAGATTGTTTCCTCCAGAATTAGTGGTGATACCACTGGATTTGATAACCAGCGTCTCCTTGGTCTCGTAGAATCGACAAACAACGATCGCCAGTTGTTGTTACAATCGGATATCCTCTTACCTCGATCGTCCAGTCAACTCGGTTTCTCTCATCAGCGATTCCATATTCCGGGCATTGTCCGCTCCAAACACAATCGTATCTACTCCCTGTTGAATTGAGGTACGTCTGAGGTTACTATTCCCCTCAGCTTTTGCTCGAGCCAACGGTCCAACTAAACTCTCCCAAATTAATCTGCTCCTCCGAAATTCACGACAATTACTCCATCAATTTCAACTCCAATTATTCTTCCATTAGTATCAAACCCGACCAATAGTAATCATTCGATAATTATTCAATTAAATGTATACAATTTTCACGATATAACATTCAAATGCCATATTTCCTGGAAACAGATTAATTGAGTACCGGGCAAATGCATTGAATAACCACAATGAATGTAAATGCACTGGAATATCAAGGATGCAGTCTCCCTCTCCACCTATTTGCATTCCGACAATTAATCGACGAAGCCGCGACCGCATGGTATCGAGTTAACGAGCGACTAGAACCTCCTCGACGTATTTACCGTGGTAACGAGATCCTCCATTTGTGGTCTTCGAGGTTTGAGGGGCTGGTAGTGAAGGTATTCCTGTCAATTGAAGCTGCCCATTACTTTCCTCCACATTTCCATTCCCATAATGATTGTCTTCAATTTTCAAACACCTCGGTACATATTTAAAACCAGCAGTGTAACCAGTACCCCTCAAGCTGTTGATTCCAACTCCAGTTGTTTCCAACATCAGCTCTGACAAGACAACCACCGAGATTATCCCAGAGGAATTGTTCAGACAATTGACCAAAAATCGAACATCATTTGAGATTGTCACACAAGTGCAGTGTAACGCTCGTTCCCTCCGAACATTCCTTCCACCGAAATCCACCGAAATCCAGTCCCGGATTCCACTGGACCCTCAAACACTCCAGGAGATAGTCATCACTCGTACTTCATTCACTCTCAATCCAGAGAAATAAAACTAGAATGAAAAATAAAAGAGAGAGAGATGCAATGCGAGATAGCTGTATTTATATTCCAGATGAAAAGAAATATTCACCGAGTTGGCCGGTCGACGGGGATTCGCAGTTCCTCTCTCATTCCCCATCCGAGTGAAATTCCAACCCCGGGTTATTCCCATTCATTTCCCTTTATATGCATAATGCAGTATTTCCACTTTTCTCCCTCGTGTCCCAACGTAGCGGAAGGTACTCGCACCAAGATCACCGGAAGAGGATTGAAACTTGTGTAGGTTTCACACATGTTTCATTAATGTTATTACGTTATAAGAATACTAATGGCTGCGATGATTCATTAAAGTCCGCGATACTCCGGATCGAATTATACAATTCGCAGTGAATTATTATTATTCAGGCAATGGGTGTGAATAATTTGATGGAGATATTCTCATTCGAGGTGGAAATGTCAATCTGTCAATCCATCGAGCTGCTGAAGAAGACAGAATTGACATCAGGATGAGTGTCACCATCCCATGGAGATTCCACGGAAATTATTCAAATGGTTTCCCCATTTGAAATCGCTCTTTCATCAATCTGCAACGAAGTGGCTATATATTTTTAATAATGACAGATAGAATTACCCAAATCATCCAGACGACTTATTGATATTAATTTTGATGCGCGTTGTGCCAAACGCTGACGAAATACTTCAATTCAATTCAACAACTTCTCCATATTCCTGCTATTCTCCATCCACATAGCAGACCCTGATTAGAGACAAAGGCACGGGTCCTGTTCATGTTTGTAAACTACTTCAAACGTAGACACATGCGTAATTATACGACCCACCAAGTATACTTGCCGCAACTTCCCCAAGTGGTCTCATTCGCCTGCGCTCGATACTAATTTGGTTAATTACCCGCTACATAAAATGGACCACATACTTCCCCCCGACATTATGAGTTTTACACTTTCAGTTGGTTAATTGTTCTTTTATTAGTACCACGGGATTCTGTCCGTGTGGCGATTCATCTCCAGTGGAGATCACCTCCGATGGTGGATTGATTAATGGGATTCATTA